TTCCTACTATAACTCCAACCAGCATTTATGTGGCTAGCCTACTCTGGGTCTCTGAGCTCCATTGTACTATGCATAGGACAAGATAGACTATGAGTATTTAGGCAGAAGGTTTTGAGGCCTCAACCACCAGAGCATGTTGAAGGTAGGCTTGGCAGCCATGTCTTCCTGGCTGTGTGGGCTCTCAGTAGGAAAAGCAGGCTGTGAGAGGACTTGTGGAAGTACTTTTTGTAGCACAGTCCAGGGCAGGGGCCTGGCTGCCCAGAGTCTAAGGACACCTCTGTTCTCATATTGCTTCCTTACCATTCATTTATGCAATGTCTGATTGCAGCAGAGTAAATAGGTCTTGCTGTGGTCTTACTTTCTTCCAATAAATGGGCTGTTTTTGGAAGGAGAAAACACACACTTAAATTAAAGGTCATTCGCCTGTTGAGGAAACACCTTAGAGATCTGGAACTCTGTCTTAAGCACATCAGCTCACAGCCAAGTGTGGCTCTTGAGTTAGGACTCTCCTGGGCTAGCATACACTGCATGGATGTCATTTGTTTTCGCTCTCTCATTTTTGCTGACATCAGCTGAATGCCGGTCAAGGGGACCCTGAGCTGATTCGCAGGAGGAATGGTGTCATGAGGAATTAGTAGAAAAATCCTTTACACAGGGCTTTGCTCTGTGAATTGTGTGTGTCTTTGAATTCACATCACCCTGGCTTCCAAGTGACCAGGGAGTATCCGCTGCATGAGAATGCAGTAATCGGCCATCCAGCAGCCCAGCCGTGCTGCTAGAGGTGTCTGAGGTAGGTCAGTGCCCTTTAGTCATGCTGAAACTGACAGTTACAAGTCTCTCCACTTCTGTGCAGCTTCAGGAAACGGACACTCTCAGCACTGATAGTCTTTGAAGGGACAGTCTGGCTGGAATCAATGCGTGTGAATTATATTCTTTTTCTACTGTTAGTGAGCTGCAGGACCCTAACTAGGTCACTTTACATTTAGATGGTGAATGCCTTTAGAGCAGGAGAAGTCCTGTCTCACAGGAATGTTTTGAGGATCTAATGAACCAAGGCCAGCCGAAGTTTTCTGGAATGAGTAAAGCATGTTGAAGTGTAAGAGATTATTATCACTGTGGTGTAAGCCATTTATCATATCATTTCCACAGGGACAGCTCCACAGGAAAGCAACTTTTTCTGTGGGGAGAGTGGAAAGATAATGGCAGGGAAGATTAGAGTAGGGGCTGGGAAAGTAGGAGAGCAGGGAAGAGAGAGGATGAGGCGGAACAAGCTATTTAAGGAACTGAAAAGTGTTTGGAGCGACAACTCTCTTCACGTTAAATGCTAGGCTAGGGAGTCTATGCAGATCAGCTCAATGAATACTTACTACAATGTCTCGGGCTTCCAACGTTTTGGAAAAAAGGGTAGAAATGACTCTGCTTTGTCTCCTATTCTTTTCCACCCGTTTTGCTCTGCTTCAATCACATAGCTGTTGTTACACAAGAGCATACCAGGCTCAGCTGAGAGCAAGGGTTTTACACTTAGTATTTGTTTTTCCTGGAATGCTCTCCCTTGAAGATTCACTATCTCACCTTCCATATCTGATTCATTTTTCATCATCAGTACTTACTATGATTTAGCATCGTTACATTTTACTTATTTAGATTCTATGCCATTTGTCACTTCTACCAAAACATGAAGTCTGTAAGGTCAGACATTTTGCCCGTTTTCTACTTTGCTTCTAGTGGTGTGAATGATTTTTGATTTATGGTAGCCACTTTGCAGGTATATGAGTAAATGAATGGCTGGAAAAAGAAATGTGTGGATTTCCTGGGAGTTTTTGATTTCTGGAGGTTTCTTCCAGTCATACAATTTATCTCAAAGCTAAATATTGAATTCCAAATACTGATCTTTATGGTTTTTTTTCTAAAATTAGTTTTCCACCCACAAATAAGTTGGCTGTTGAATTTGAATTTGGATCTATTCACTGACATGCATAGGAAATTAAGCTTCTTGCATTTCAGGCTTCCTAGGAAGGAAGGCATGGCACATGAGCTTTGTTGACTCACAGCCAGTGTTACAATCAAGGTGGATGGGGGTCTTCCTGAAAGACCACTTCATTGGAAGGGTTTTCTCGTCCTGAGGTCTTGAGGAATCTAGAGAAGAAGCAGCTTATCCTGCATGGGGAACACATAGAAGAATTTAGTCAAGTTCTGGGTTCCTTGGGTCCCAGATTAGGTAGGGGAGAGGAGTCCAAAGATCTTACTAAAATGCAAAAAAGTGTAGAAAGTGGTCCGTTCACCTGATACTTGTCTGAAAAATTTAGAAGCCCTGAATTTAGCTACTCATAAATGTATTTTCTTGTTTAGAAAAGTCTCATATCAGGAGTGTTGTGCTGACAGGGTGATGAAGGGAGGATTGCCTTCTGAGCTTCTCCAGGTTGGTGTTTGTCTCTGAAACAGAATGGCTGTTGGAACCAGAATCTCATAAACCAATGTGTCATTAGAAGCTATGTTGTAAAATAATTACTACTGTACCGTATTTATAATTTAGCTGCTACTTGCTTTTGAGAGTCTAAATTCAGAACATTGCCTCTAGCCATAAACAAGGAGAAAGAGAAACTGCATATTTGGTTTGGAGCAGCCCAGCAGTATAGCAAGCTGGTGAGTAGGGGTTCGGGAGGGAAACATTCAATACAGTCTTTATTTTCACGTGCAAGCCGTAGGTGTGATTTAAAATTTTATAGTAGTCACATTATAAACTATTAAAAGCTAAGCATAAATAGGCAAAACAAAATTTTAAATGTCTCTAATTTTTCTCAATACATCCAAAATAGTACATACTGTTCTTGCACGTAACTGATATAAACATCATTGAGCTATTTTTTATTCTTTGTTTATTTTTTGTATTTTTGATTGTTATTTTCCATGGTATGGCTTTGTGGGTACAGGGATTTCCCCATCCACCTATTTTTTTTTTTTTTGCTTTGTATAAATACTTGGCAGCTAGCATTTTGTACTTATAGTACAATTGGTTCGGTCTAGACTTATTCCTTTTTGAAAATATTTTTTTTTGAACGTTTTATTTGCAAGACATAGTAACAGAGAGAATGAGAGAGAGAGGGGAGTGGGAAAGGAAGAGGAAAGATCTTGTATCTACTGGTTCTCTTGGCCACAACAGCCATGACTGGACCCGTCTGAATCTAGGAGCTTCTTCCAGGTCTCCTTCATGGTTGCCATCCTCTGCCACTTTCCCATGCCATTAGTGGGAAGCTGGATTGGAAGTGGAGTGGCTGGGATACGAACTGGCACACACAGGGAGTGGTAGCACTGCAGGTACAGACTTAGCCTGCTATGTCATGGTGCTAGCCCCTGGGATAGCCTCATTTCATACACTCAACAGCTGTATGTGACTGGTGGCTACAGAACTAAATAGCAAAACTGGCTCTATTTGCAAAGAAACTATTTTTTTCCCTTGATGCTCATAATATATTGATAAGTAGCAGAGATGAAGACTTCCTTATTCAGATATTTGGGATCACATTTTGAAATTGTTTCCCAACAGTTGGGGCTTGGGACAGAGGAAGTGGGGATGGTGGAAGGAGGAATCCATGAGCCTTTAGAACTGTATCATGAAAAAAATGATAAAAAGATGTTTTTCAAAGGGCCAGAGGACAGATTGGCTACAGTGTTGGAAGAGAACAATTTGAGAGGAGACTCAGAGTTCTGTGGACAGTGCCTGCTGAAATTTATGGTTGGCCTTTTGATCCAGTTATCCAGATGGGTCACTTATGAAAATAGATGTAAGTAGTATGGTTATTTATCAGGAATGTAATGCTGTAATGGAATGAAATCTAGACTGGGGGTTAGGAGAGTTGGGCAATAGTCCAGGCAGTGGTCAGGGAGGAGAGGAATAAACTCGCATTTAGCAAGCCAGTTATGACATGAGAACCTTTACAACCATTTACTATGCACTCTTAGAAAAAGATTACAAGTTAGGCAATAACTTTCATGCAAAGAGGAAGAAGTGGAACTTTGAGTTAAACGTGAGTTCTGGCTTATGTTGAAGTCTGAATAAAACTCTCAGCTCTGCCTTATTCTAAAGCTTCAGTGTTCTCAACATTATAATCCATATACATGTCATGTATTAGGCTTATTTTCTCATGGTTAGTTTTCAACCAAGGAAGCAGAACCTCTCTCTCTCTCTCTAGATATGTGTGTGTGTGTGTGTGTGTGTGTGTGTGTGTGTGTGTGTGTGTGTGTGTGTGTTTAGGTAGGTGATAGATATCTACTCCAAGGAATTGGTGTGTGCTAGTGTGGGGATTGGTTAGATCAAATCTGTAAGGATGTTGTTCCCATGCCTGCTGCTGGAACTTCAAGTCTTCAGGGTGGGGATCATAAAGGGAAGATCACACACATGCTGGAAGTGACAGGCTACAACGTAATGAGGTTGTAGTTTTTTGTTTATCCCCTCTGGCTGTGACCATAAAAATATTCTGTGGTAGTGGGTCTTTTCATCACAGAGCTAAATCTTTATGCCTGGTTGAGTATTCAAAGAACCTGGTGGAGGATCAAGGTGGCAGGAGAGTGAATGCAGACCTAGTGGCTGCTGCACAACCAGGAGTGGAAACAGCATCAGCAACAAAGTACCATGAGCTTTACAATGGTTGCCATTTCTCTCTGCCTATCCTATCTTCCCCCAAATCCTCCCACTATACCACACTAACTGGAAATCTAAGGAGTTGGCTTGTTACAAATGCAGAATGTGTGAATGGATGAATGAGTGAATCCTATGGTGCTTCTCTCTGAAGTTCTCTGCCAGTCAGAACACTTTATCCTTGCACTACCTTGTAGAAGACAAGAAATTCTGAAGCACTCACTCCATTGAATTTTGGCTTTTTTATTTTCACTAGGAATAAATCTTATCTGCCTATTTTAAAGGACTTATGCAAAGATTATTTATGATAATGTGAACAAAAATATTTTAAACATTATAAAGCACAAATCAAATGTGATTTAGCATTGTATTATTTTAATTATTGTTGTGACTAATAATTCTCCTGCATCATATGGAATTATTAAGTCTGGCCTCTGGTATACCAGGAAGGCGAAATTAGATAAAGTAGGAGGAAGTTATCTGTCAGTTACCTTACACTGTAATCTACACAGGCAAGATTGAGTTATCATTCAGAATCTAAATATATTTTCTCATTGTATTTTATTTTTTGGTTAAATGGCTTAGAGGTACAAACATGTAACTAGAGCCATTGCTGACTCTAGGGGCTGAAGAGCAGTGGCTATTCCTTGGCTGGGAGTTGTGGGCAGTGGATGAGAATTCTGTCCTATAAATGTGGGCTTGCATTTTGTAGCAGCCGAACCTGCTCAGCAGAATGAACAAATCTCTTCGAAAATTCTTGGTGAAGATGGCATAGAGGAAGGGGTTGGCACAGGAGTTGATGGGGTAGAACAGGACCAGGAGGATCTTTGCCTTAGATACTGTGATTAGGGGCACCTTAAGGGAGGCTGAAATGGCAAAGAAAGAGATGGGGGCCATGCAGAGGAAGTCGGTGAAGATGAGCAAAGCCATGCGCTTGGCGATTCTGGTGTCACTGGAGGAGGACGCGATGTTAGGGTTCCTCACCGTGAGGTAGATGCGGGTGTAGCAGCCACAAATGATGACAAAAGCCAGAACATTGAGCACAAGGAGGAGCATGACATACAGTTGTGAGAGAGTGCTGTCAATATCCATGGGCAGGCAGATGCTCACCTTCATGTAGCTGCTGATGCCGAAGATAGGAAAGAGGGCAGCTGCAAAAGAGAAGATCCAGCCCATGCCCATGACACTGGCAGCATGGCGCAGCTGCACCTTGCAGTCCAGCCGCATGGCATGGGTGATGGTGTGCCACCTTTCCAGAGTGATGACTGTAAGAGTGTAGACTGAGAGCTCACTGGCAAAGACCGTGAAAAAGCCAGCAACATCACAGCCTGCTCCAGTTTGCCAGTCAATGGCGTAGTTGTGGTATTGGCTTTTCGTGTGAATGTCAACTGTTGCTATGAGCAGCAAGTAGATTCCAATGCAGAGATCAGCAAAGGCCAGGTTGCACATAAGGAAGCGGGGAACTGTGAGTTTATATTGGCTGGTTATCAGGATCGTTAACACTACGATGTTCCCAGTGATGGCTAGGATGCTGATAAACCATATCAAGACTCTAAGGATGTTGTACCCCATAATATCTTCACATGGGTTGAACGCATCTGGCTTAGGGGAGCAGGAGACATCAACCATTTCATTGCATAAGTCATAGTCAGATTCACCATATGTCATATCAAATCCTCTGCCATAACTGGTTTCATCATCTTCAACCAAAGAGATTTGCTGACCCCTAGCCTGAGTCATGTCATCAATTTCTTGCCTTAAAATAGATTTATTACAAATTGGATGAAGTTCAGAGCTAGAAAAAACACAAAAGGAATAGAATTAACATATAGACCCAATGTGGAAAATACATTAATCTTTGCTTCATCTGGAAATGATAAGGTTTCTTCCTGAAATAATACTTATTATTATTTTTTCTTACATCTTGTCTGCCCTTGAGGCTGAGCACAAGGGTTATGCTGGTTACTGTAAATGAGCAGAACAACTTGTATATATATTTGTAGAGTTGGATGCCCCATTGGGGAAACTATCTAGCCACAACCTGAATGTGGGAAGGAAGGCGCCTGGGACTAGCTGAGCCTTGCTGTTAAGTGCAGATAATTTATATTCCTGGTATCAACTCCACCCTTTGTCTCCCCACATCTTCATTCAGCTATCTTTCAACATGCCTGAATAGCACATACCCCCATTCCTATACTGTCTACTCCAATCCCTGGAAGATCCAGCCAGTTCTCTGACTCAAATGGGAGCTGGTTTGCTTCTTTATCTAAGTAAATTAGAGGATCAGGGTCTGCAGTCCCCTCCCTTTGTTCTTTAACTTAGGCTATTAAGACACCGGCTCATTTTACTGAAGTGCTACCAGGCTGTCTTCTTTATTCTCATTTCCCAAGAGCCACAATAGCTTGCAGACCTGTGTTTGCATTGCAAGGTGAGTTTGGTTCTCTCATATTCAACACTTCCCTAGTAGGTGACCAAAAGAACAAATGCGGATTACAAAGGGCTCAATTATTCTAAGACTGTAGTCTACCCCTGGGGAGTTTGGTTCTTTTGGTGGTCACTCTTCTGTTTTCTCTTTTAGCCCATATGTATGAGAGACCTTCTCAAGAGGTCATAGGCACTTGCAGAAGGATTCAAGTGAGATCCAGAGGATAAATATCAGCCATGAGCATACCCATAAATATTCTAACCTAGCGTATTTTACACACTCTGCATGTGGAGATGCAGAATAACTACTACTGAATTGAAGCAAATGTATAGGATGGAAATGCTTCACCCTGGGTCTCCTTTTGGATTGAAGTAAATCTCTCTCACACACACTCACACACACTCACACACACACACACACACACACACACACACACACACACAGCCTCTCCATCCTTCCCCAGGGGACAAGTTCACAGAAATATTTAGTGACTGCTTCTCTCGAACTTGAATCTCAGATATAAATGCAGAAGTCAGTGTTAAAACCATTTGGAAACTCTCATGAGAGAGATGACTGAAGGCCCAGAAGAGAGAAAGATTCCCTTTGCACTAAAGGATGAGTGCTCACTGCGTGTCCAGGACACTGAATTTTCACCAGTGGCTTTGATTAGAAGAGCTACGAGGCAGAACTGTCTCTTGCCAGAAGTGAATTGCATTGCCAAGAAGTCATTTTTCTCTTGAGGAATTCTCGTTTTCATGAAGGGTATATCCTTTGTTTTTAGAGGCCAAACCAAATCTTTGTGATAAGACATCTCAAATCAGGAGAGGGTTGTTCTAAAGAAGGTACATGGTTAAAACACTTATATTTGGCTGTGAACAGAACTAGACTGCAGAAAATATTTTGATATAGTTGATGGTCTTGTAATACAGGCAAGGGAGCTTCCAAGATGGGCACAGAAGGGAAAGGAGGGCTGTTCTGTGGTTCTGAGTCTTCACGGCCAAGTGTCAAAATATTGTTATTAAATTGGCAATGTTGGGGCACACTTAAGACTGATAGAGTTATAACTCCATATATGAAGAACTATACTTTATGTAATACTATGGGGAAAATCAGACAGGCAGTGGGAATTAGGGGGGAATCCCTGACTACAAAATTGCATCATGGAATTCAAAAATTAAAATAAAAATAAAAACAAAATAAATTAGCTGCAGCTTGATTCTAGGAACAAACAGAAAGAAAACTGCTTCTTGCTGATTGCAGTTTGGTTTATTGGAATGAGATCTGACTTAACCATCTAAGGATGTATTTTGAATACTGATGCTTCTCTCTCCTGAGAAGAAATGACTCACTGACACTAGGTGGGGGAAACATAACACTGTATGTTTCTGAGATAAGAAACATGAATGGGAGCGGAGGGAAGTTAAGATGTACTCCTACAGTATTTTGGCATACCTTAAATATCGTAAAGAGTTGGACATTCCGATTTGGGGTCAGTTTAAATATTAAGCTTGGAAGATTTTTTTAAAGATTTTTTTTCCTCGGCTAGTCAGATTTGCAGAGAGGGGAGACTGAAAGATTTTCCATCTGCTGTTTTATTCCCCAAGTGGCTTCAATGTTTGGAGCTGAGCTGAGCTCTGAAGCCAGGATCCAAGAACTTCCTCCAGGTCTTCCTTGCAGGTGCAGGGTCCCAAAACTTTGGACCATCCTTGATTGCTTTCCCAAGCCACAAGCAGGGAGCTGGAAGGGAATTGGAGCAGCCAGGGTACGAACCAGTGCCCGTATAGAATCCTGTAACATGCGAGGCAAGGACTTTAGCCACTAGACTACTGTGCTGGGTCATTTTGAATCAATTTAAAAAGTGATACACTTGGACTCCAATTAATTAATGGGCAGATGCATGTAGAGCATCTCAGAATCTGAACTTCGGAGACAGGCACAAATTGGGGGTTCGTGTCTGAGTTGGTTCCATGTGGGCCAAGCTATACTGTATCTCACATGGAGCCATAGTTTCTGCCTCTGTGAGAAAGATGTAGTATTACTACAATGTATATTCCCAGTGTGAGAATGAAGGGAATGAGTAGGCAGAAAATGTCGACATTATGAAGATGTTGGTGGGTACATTACTGAGTTCTTGTTGGAGCACAGTTCTTGTGGGTATTTAACTGCATCAGCTTAACATAGAGTTGTGAAAAAATGGCCTAAAAACAAGAAAAATGAGAACAAGATGAGAGAAAAATGATAAGCAGAGTACAGAACAATGGCAAACATTCTGGCTCAATGACGTGGCCTTTTGCTAAGAGCTCGGGCAAGCCATTGGCTAAAAATCTTAGTCACAAGGCTCCACTATTTACACACTAGAGATTATTTTCAAATAAGGATTGGGAGAAGAGTACCATTATATGAGTTTAAACTCAAATCCCATTACCAAAACACATTACCTATAACATACAAAGAAATGACACTGTGTTAGGAAAAAAAAAAGCCTTAGATTATCTTCTGAGCAGCTTAATTGTTTTTGTATTGTACTTGTGTATGAAATTTGGTTACATGCCAAAATCAGTTTGTTATATCTAAAGATCAAACAGGCCAATACTGTGTTTTTACCTGTCCTGAAAGGAGCACAAATATGTCCCTTGTCGCACCCCAAGGGGCCTTGATTGTTAATTACAAGAGGAACTCAGTGGTGAGAGCCTAGAGGCCTGGAGGGCCCAAGGAAGGCTTCTTGGTAGGGAACATTATTAGAAGCCTGGAGATCTCCATCTGGAATAGCCACTACCAGGCAGTGTAAGACCTGAGGAGTTTGAGCAACATAGTGAGATAATAAATTCCTGCAGCATGAGCATGCCACAAGCCAGTCTTGCTGTGATCTTAACATCCTTCAGGATTTCTCTGGAGGAGTATTCAGTTCCAGGGACTTGGGGTGAATTGGTAGTTTTCCTCACCCAGGCTAGAATTATTCTTGCCTGGAATGTAAAAGAGGCAAGCCTTCTTGTACATTAGCCCATGCTGTTAAGAATGCAGGTTGTTGGAAAGAAATTCTCTGGTCCCTGAGCTACCCTATGAAGAATGCCCGATTCCGGATAGTTTCCCAATGATATGAGGTAATTTTGAAGAGCAGTTCTTTTAATGAATATAATTCAAGTGGGTGATTGTAGACTCCAAGTTCTTCTAAAACATTTTAGAATGTGTGATATTTCATTGTTTTGACTTACTTTTGAACCAAGGGTATATCCACATGGACAGGTCAGTGTACAAGAGTTCTAAAACTTTGTGGATAAGTGGAATTTAAACTTTGCTTTTGAGTGCTGAGTGTGATAGCCTAGTGGCTAAATCCTTGCCTTACAACTACCAGTATTCCATATGAGTGCTACTTTGTGTCCTGGCTACTCTACTTCCATCCAACTCCCTGCTTGTGGCCTGGGAAAGCAGTCAAGGATGACCCAAATGCTTGGGACCCTGCATTCCCAAGCGTGGAAACCTGGAAGAGACTCCTAGCTCCGGCTCCAGAGCTCAGCTCTGGCCATTGCAGCTACTTGGAGAGTGAACCAGTGGATAGAAATCTTCCTCTCTGCTTTCCTATTTTCTGGAGATCTGCCTTTCCAATAAAAATAAATGGAATAAAATTTTCTATTTATCAAAAAGGTAACTGAAATCCATTATTTTTTATGATATGTATTTTCCATGAATGTTTTGAGGATCCCCTCCATATGCTAGAAGTTGAAGAATAGAGAAGACTGGGTTAAATAGTGAAGTTATATCACAGGGAAGCTATTTTCATATTAGGTTGCTGTGCAAACGGTAATATAAATGTAATATAAACGAGTCATTTGAGGGCAGCTACACAGTGTGGGTTGTATATGTCAATCCGAGGGAAAGTGAGAGATTTGAGGACCTTGATCTCCAACAAGTTCTTACCTCCAGTGGATTCTTTCATGTGTGGAATAAGCACAGTCTCCAAAGCCACTCCCTTCCCCCCTCTGTCTAGATTCTAAAACTTTCAACTAGTTATCTGATAGGCCTTGGTTCTGGTTGGAATATCCTCTTTAAACCTATGCTTCCTAGAAAGCCACAGGGGTGGTATTGGGCTGTGAGGTGCTAGATTTGAATGTGCATCAGGGAGGCCTAGAGTAGTAGGGCAGTACTGGAGGTGGTACATCACATCAGTCTGTTGTGGCATTTTTGCTTCCTCACAAAAGTTGGTTGAGGGTAAAAGGATGAGGTTTTATGTGGGGGCAAATTTTGGTATTTAAGGAATCAATGTGCTATAAAGGAAACAGGAAGCAGGTACTAAGCACCAAGTAGGAGTCAGGCATCAGGTTTTGTTTTTCATGCTTCCTCATTGAATGTTTCTTGATACTTTAGCAGATGTGTATTCCTTTGCTGTGAACTTATTTTTGAAGATGTTCTTTCCCTACCACAGAAACGACTCTTCACTCTAGCATGCAGCTGATGGTTTCAGGCAGGGAACACTCTGCTCCTGGCTTCTCTGCGTGCTACATGGGTAGATGTTGGGGAAGGTGTCATAGCAGGGTTGAAAGGATCTTCGGGAAGACTTACGTTTTCCGTCTCCAGTTTGCAAAGGCACAGCAATGGCTGGGGTAGGTGAGACTGGCTTCCATGAGGGCAACAAACTTTTCCAGATTAGGAAGCTTTTTTAAGTTGTATGTTGACCTGGCCCTTAGCTTCTTAAGATTTTCTAAGCCACAGCTAGGCAGAGCATGGATCTTTGTTCTTGAAATATCTCTATGAGGAAAAAAGGTAAACATAATGTGATTATTATGGGGCTAACATTGTTTGCTTTCAGTAATAGGCAATGTATTAGACACTGTAGTGCTACTCTAATGTGAGTGAGGCTCCAGTTTGACCCAACAGATATTGGTTTAATCAGTGTTCAGCTCATAGGGCATTTGAGTTGTATGGGAACCCTGGCTGCAATTTGTGTGTGTGTGTGTGTGTGTGTGTGTGTGTGTGTGTGTGTGTGTGTGTGTGTGGTAGGAGGAGTTAGATAATAGACCACCCTGCTTCCTGGTTATATTCACGTTCTGATTGTTGAGCTTCACTGTTGCTGCAGTGTAGAAATAGTCACCTCCTCATCCATAGTCTATTTGTGCTCCCAAATTTGCACAGGACTGAAAGGTTGAGACCATCTGCTGCTGCTATGAAAGTAGTCCTAACAATATTTCTGATGTGCTGGTATGAAATCTGTGGCTGGCCAAATTTCAGAAAAAGGTGGGAGAGTTACATATCGTAAGAGGAAAAGGAGCCTGGAAGGCAGTAGAAGCAGCCCCAGTACCAAGTTCAAGTGGCAAAAGAAATGCAGTTGATGTCTGTGGAAGACTTTCCTGCAGATGTGCCCCACCCTGTTACATATTAGATTTATGTTCTTGGTCAAGTTATGGTACTTTTAGACATATAGACATATAGATCATGTTTACTTCTGTGAAGAGTAAATGAGTTTAAGATCTGCTTGACCAGCAGACAACACCAAGAGGGAGAAAGGAGGGCAGAGGTGGAGAGCAGGGAGAAAGTGATGGGAAAGGGGAGAGAGAGAGAAAGAGAGAGAGACAAAGAGACAGAGAAAGAGGGAGAGAGGGGGAGAGGGATATGTAGAGGCTGATCTTGCTATGTAGGAGAATCTTCCTGGGTGAAACAAAAGAGGTCTCATGGGAGCCAACACAGGTAAGTTTAATCAGATGCTTTCCATGGAAGGCTTCATGTCTCATTCTATTTGGTAGCAGCATCATTGATGTGATATATTGTTTGACAGTGCCATTGGTCATGGCAAGGCTCAAAATGAAGACCAGCTGGTGAAGAATGAGATTTAAAAGATGCCGGTTTACACCTGCTGGGCACATGTGAGCAGTTGCTGTTGATGGAGATGGCAGCAAAGAATGACTAGAATAGGTTCATTTAGACACCTTGTGGACCCTTGAATATTCTTAATATTAGAATTCCTGTGAAGTCAAAGTAATAAAAGAAATGAAGTTTGGAGGTGTGGGTATATACTTGCTAATAGTGTGTACTTATAGTCAGTTGAAAGTTACAATATTAAGGCCTTTTTCCATGTGCCCCACTCTTCCTCAAAAATGTATAGTGCCTTGTTACTCTAAGTGCTACACTGTTGGTTACTTTCCTTTCTTGCATTCCCTATGATGTTACTATTTCCTCAGATGGGCCCAGGCTTAATCCAGCACCCCAGAACTCAACCAGGGACACAACTACTTGAGTCTTCATCTCCTCTGCACTCCTAGGGTGCACACTAATAGGAAAATGGGATCAGGAACAGAGCTGCAATTCTAAGCCCGACACTCTGATGTAGGATGCAGATATCCCAGTGATGTCCTAACTGTTAGGCCAAATTCCCACTCAACTTCTAACTTGGCTTGGTTTCTCAGTTATGTTACACACACAGACACATGCTCTTTCAGAGATACTTTCTTGGCATCTCTTTGATTTCTTTGCATTTGTGCTTTGACTTCTTTCTAAATGTTTTGTCTCTCTTCTATCCTTTAAATTTTACTTCTTCAAATTTGGTACCCTCTAACTGTAAATAACTTCCTCATGATCTTTCCTTTCCCCTAGTTGAGACACTGAGCATATGCTAGTACTTCTAACTGCACACATGCCAATTCAGCTCTCTCAGTCAGATGTTCTCCTCACTTGTTGCTCAAAGCTAGGCTTAGCTGTGATGATCTACACTGCTGAGCTCAGCTGTGAGCCCCTGTGTGATGCTCAGGTTGATTCACATATTCAGAAGTAGTGATTATCTATGAAAAAACGCATCTGTCTGCACTTATCCATCTGAATCCATCCATCCCATTCATCCATCACCTCTGTGCTTATTATTCTTAGATGCCAATATGTCAAATTTGTTCATAGTATTATTTAAAGCTTATATATACTTAGTTCTCTGCTTCTTTTGTGGTCTATTACTGCTGAGAGCAGTTCATTAAAATCTGCTGCTGTGAGTTTGGATTTGTATATTTTTAATTTTGTCTCTTTTTGGCCTTATATATTTAGTGACTTTTAAAAGTCCATATAGACTTGGAAATTTTATATACTCCTGATTTTTAAATAATATATACTAGTATCTGTCTCCTAACTCTTTGAAGAAAGCTAATTGTTTACTGGTTCTTTCCTGGCTTCCAATTGTTGGAATCTGGGGTTGGTGTCTATATTTCTTTATCTTATCACATAAGTTTTGCCTAGTGTTATAACTTAAAACTTGTCTTATTGGTGACTCTGAAATTGTTGTATTGGTGGCTCTGAAATTTTTATTTTTGATTGCTTCTTTTTTTGAACTCTAGACTCTTACATTTAGTTACTCCTTTATAAGACTTACTTGGATATTTGAGAGTTCAAGCATTGAATATTAAAAGACTGAAAACTGTTGCACCTGCAGTTTTTCTGGTTGTTGTTGACAAAATGTTGAAGTCATCCTTGATTCCTTGCTTTTGTTCACATTCCATTTCCAGCCTTTCAGGAGGGCTTCTTAGCTTTATGTATCACATATGTTTGGGCGTTACTTCTATCAACATTCATTGCTGTCCCCACAGGATGAAAGTTTTGGTGTACCAAGGGATCTTTTCTAGTTCCTTCTTTGGTGTTAGAATTCTTCAATTATGGGTTCCCTGCAGGTAAGTGTCTTTTGTCCCTGGGATGAGGCTTCATCTTTCTGTTGCTAAATGGTATTGTTGTGCTGGGTACTTTTGTTTTGTTTTGGGGATGCTTGGGATGCTTGACATTCCTCTGTACCTTTTTTTTTTCTCATCAGATGCATTCTTCTACTGGCACTTGCTGTATTGTGTGTGACCAAATTCTCATTCCATCTGACATTGGGATCCTCTTTTATGCTTAGTTAGAAGTAAGCAATCCCACATTATGTCTACAACAGTTTAAATATTCTAATAAGTGACAGAAAAGCTTTGGAAAAGATCTTCAGAGGTATTTTAAACCAAGTCAGTGTTTACCTGTAATGAATTTTTCTCACATTTCTAAAAGCAAGCAATACAAAACAGATTACTTATTTCCTTTTTAAAAAATTGTATCTTCCTCTTTAAGCTTAGAATGGTTAAAGAAAAAAGTAGAGTGGGTGATTAATGCCCCAAAAGAAACAAATTCCCAAACAATGCATGAGATATCAGAATCAAGATGGCGGAATAGGGTAAGGACATGTTTAAATGAACAGAAAAACATTTATTCAGGATGAAGCAGAGAGGACATATTTCAGGAAATAAGAGAGGACAGAACAACAGCAGAGGGGCACCTGGAGACTGACAGACATAGGAAAGCAGCAAAAACAATGCTGTGCTGTTGCAGTGATTGATAACCCAGTGGCATTCAGCTAATGGTGATCTGAACTCCACCAGCAGTCAGAACTCCACCAGCAGCCAGAATTCCACCAGCAATAAGATGGGGAGGGATGTTTGCCAGGAGCTCAGAAATTGAACCTAGACAAAGAACTGCTTCTCCTACTGGTATTTTTGATTTGACCATGAGAAGAGACAGGGCAGCAGGTCCCAGATGGGCAGTGTAGGAACAGGGTGGATTTCACAGCCCTGTCCACCTCCTAGAGTCCAATTAGGCACCATTTTGTTTGAGGAGGCAAAGGCGATGGGGCAGGACTGTGCATGCATGAAGCTGGAAGTGAACTCATTTCTGGCATAGTGAACTGCAACAACATGGCATTGTATAGGTTCCACCCTACAGGTCCAGGTAGCCCTCATACCTGACAGTGAGGGCTCATTGCATTGCACTGGTCCTACAGGAAAATAATACTGACTATGGCATTGTACGGGTCAAGATAAGTCCGTGTGGCCCTCAGACCTAATGGCCAACAGTTTCCAGCGAGATCAGCACCGTCAACAACCTAGCTATATAGGACACCTGGTGTCCCCTAATGCTGGGACCTACTCCAACCAGAAGTGGGAGAAAGGTTGTACAGGTAGTGGTGCAGCCTCAGCAGTATCAGAAGGTAGAGAATGGTGAGCCAGGAGGTGAGGCTGTAGAGACCATGGTGAAGGTCTAACATGAGAACCCAGACCTGGAACTCCCTGGAGGGGGTGGCACAAGTGACTTCAAAGAAAGAGCTGTGTACCAACTGCCATAAGCAAAATCGAACTGTAGACCTGTGGGAGACCCGGAAGAGCTCCTGGCTTCAGCTCCTGGCTCTTGGCTTCAGATTGGCCCAGCTCCAGCCATTGCGGCTGCTTGTAGAGTGAACCATCGGATGGAAGATCTTCCTCTCTGTCTCTGCTCCTCTCTGTATATCCACCTTTTCAATAAAAATTTTAAAATCTTAAAAAAAAAAACTCACAGGATACCTTTCACAGGAAACCCTACATGCCAGAAGAGAATGGAGCAACACATTCCAGATTCTACAAGCAAAAAATTGTTGGTCCAGGATAATGTATCCAGCAAAACTTTCCTTTGTTTTTGAAAATGAAATAAAATTCTTCCACAGTAAAGTTAAAGGAATAACCCTCTTCCAAACCTGTCCTACAAAGCATACTTGAAGATCTTCTCTTGACAGAGAAAAGGCATAATGTCCACCGAAACCACAGCTAAATGTAAAATAACAACAGAAGACTAAAGCAACGAACAGCCCATTGCTAAAGGACAGAACCAAATTAACAGCTATTTGTATTAACCCTGAATATAAATGGCTTAAACTCATCAATCAAGTGTCACAGATTAGTAGACTGGATTAAAAAAAACAAAACCCACCTATTTGTTCCTACAGG